TTCAGTTTTGCAGTTTATTCATGAGCTGCGGGATCGTCGCCTCTCGGCTGAATTTCCATCTGACCCGTAGGCCTATATCCGTACATTGATGTCACGCCAAAGCAAAAGACGGGGGTATTTGTTTAGCTCAGTGGAGCTCTATGATCAAAAGGTCCATAAGAGTTGTGACAATTATTGAATAGCATCTCGACCTGGCGCTGTTTTTTGTTTTATATCGTTGCGTAATGTGTATATCAATTATCATTTGTTACTGACATTTGTTTCTTATTAGTTTGTATGGCGTAGCTTTCAGTCGAGCTACAAAAATTTAGGGGTGCAAATCACCACTTTTAACCATTCTCATGTGCTCGTCATTTGTTGATCCTGGTAGGTAAATGAGATTGAAACATCTCCATTGCATTTAAACAGTTTATATCTGTTAGTATACCTATCTCATATATTTTGCATATAAGACAGATGAATTGCAGTACGTAGGGCCATGGTCAGTACTGTCATCAAAAGACACACGACAAATTCTGACGTATTTAGTGCCGTCATGATAGGTTTGCCAATCCCAAAGCTATAAACCTTTCGACTTTTTGCCGTCCCTCATCAATTCAATAAGTACAACGATGCGGAGAAGTAACCGACCACCGCGTGCTGTAGCGCGCTCTATCGCGGGCGCCGAAATAATCAGGCCCCGGCGCATGTAAAACTATTCATTGGCCTGCTGACTGATGGCAGCAATCTGGGCCTGTTTATTCATGTATGCCTGCTTCTAGTGTCGGCTACCCGCATCACCGGGCCGTGGTATAGGTATGAGACTATAGGTACACCGGCAGGGTAAACATATGCGGGCACACGGGCGACGGATCAAACAGAACCTCCGCACTGCAACGGCTCTGAGAAACGAAACTGTTGTCTTCTGGAAGCATTCCAAAGTTTTCTAAAGTAATTTATATTTCACGTTCAAAAAGTAGATGAAATCTAATTTTGATCCTTCCAAAACAAAGTAACTTCCCTCAATTATGCCACTCACCCAGCTGGTGAGCGGGGAGCTATCGGAATCCGTTGCAATTCTCCAGTGCAGCTCAGAGTTCCGTCACCCTCACTGGCGGACATGCGTGACAGACTGCCGGACTGCGGAGGGCGGTCCAGGAAGTGGCAACAGCGTCACCACTCTGCATCGTATCCGGTCCGGCTGCAATGGCAGGCCGTACTGGCCGAGAGGGAGCACGACAGGACTGTACGAGGCAGCGGCGGAACTTGGCGGCGGGAGACGACCTGAGGGCCAGGTTACCGAACTATAACGATAATGTCAGTTTCGAGAAGCAGCAAATGCCTACTCTTTATGTAGGGAATGGGATAATGCGAAATCCAAACGCCAAAAATTTGTGTTACGAAGGTATAATTGCACAATCGCTTTGAGCTTCCGATATAAATACTGCAAATACCCGTATTGGAAAGTGGAGACATGCCTTTGACTATGACAGGCGATCATGAGACTACCGTACCTGACATTCCGACCAGTCATCACATCAATCTGTGTGCGCTCAACCGTGGCACATGTGCCTCATATCGTAAAACAAGTGCCTCAATTTGTCCTGATGAGATCCGGCCCAAGTCCCGAGTGTCGGACGAGAGCTTGGAGCGGCCGACACGATGCAATGCCCGGCGGGCCAGCGTCGTGCTTCATTGGGGCGCGATTTGGCAGCTCTAATCGTCTCGAAGGAGGATGTCACTGGTAAAGCATGGCGGCTGGACACGGTAGGGCTCGCGGCACCCAGCAGCAATCCATCGCGACCTCCTGGGTGGCCTGTAATTGTATCACGCCGGCCCGTGGTCACCTAAAGATGATGTAGAAAACAAACGGCGACGTCCGGCGTGAAGCGAGATGGGCTCGTGATGCCCACCATCGCTCGCGGTCACTTTGCCATGTGAAGAGGTTATAAATAGCGGGACCAATTGAGAAACCTCGAAAGGGACAAATAATCATCCAGTTGACTCTAAGAGTCACGTATGATCTGTAGTTTCCGTTATACCCTCCTTTCGGATATATTTTGCCCATCTTGTGACAGTGATGATATAACCCAAAGCATTCAGTGTCCGACTGACGCAGTGCCAATTTTGGGAACAAGAGTGAAATGTCTCGTGGCATTTCAAAATGACCGAGAGGCATTCGTCCCGTTTGACAGACATTTTCCAAGGCTCCGTCCGATGATCATACGGTAAACATTCGGGAGCCATTCAGCGTTCCGCAAAGTGCAAACAAATTCCTTATCCAAACGACCCCGTGAGAACCTTAGCGCGTTCTGGGTCAGACATTGTCGCTTCGACAAATATGTGAGCACACGCCCTGGATATCTGAGCCGCGGTTCGTCTGTAAAAATACCAGCACGGCGATGAATCACGGCTCATCCTCTTCAGATTGTTGACTTTGGCGAGAGTTGACCGATGAGGGAAAATCATATCAGCGTCGCACCGCGCCAGCGAACAAAGAACAACATTCCTGGATAGAGCGCGTCCCGACCTGCGTCTTTTCGACACAGCGGCTGACCTGACCTCTCCTGACTTGGCCCCAGCACCTAATCTCCTAGCTTTATCCATCAACCCCCTTCGACCTCAGCTGGTCCAATAGTCGCGTTTCATCAAAGACCCTGATGTTGTAGTCGAGCGGAGATCTAGCCATCTCATGTCCTGGGCCAGTCCATGAGCATTTACTATCTCGAAATGTTGAGACCAAATTCAGCCAGCTAAAGCTATACTATAAGCACCATAAGCAAGCACCGTTTGTAATGTCCACAATTTCAAACAATTAATTTTTTAGGAGAAAAAATGTAGTCAGACACTGCAACGGTGCAAGTGTCAAGTGCCATTTGCCATGATTCATTCATGGATTATTCATATACAATTTGTCTGACACGGTCCAACCACTAATGAAAACTGTCGTGGACCGGCCGCCAGGGTACAGGGCGGGGTCAGGCGCCGGACCCCGTCACCGATGGGCCTGCCGTGAATGTTGACATTCATATATCCTCCCGACCGCTGAGACTGCCCCTCATTGTTGCAGCGGTGGCCAGAGGCGGTAATGCATTTCAGGTCCTCTATCAGCTGATGTTGCGCCAGGGTTCGGGGCCATTTGTCGAACCCAGCGCGTCAGCGATATTGTACGCGCCGGGTGAGTGCCGGGCTCGGTTTCTCGACTGTCTCAGCTCGGAGTATGATGGCTAAGTGCTAAGGCTAAGGCGCTGTTTCGCCACAATGACACCGAATCGTCAAAACCCACGCTGCATTTCAGCCCTAAGACCGGCGACCGCTTCCTCCTTTTCCCCTCACGCTTTCTGCATCTTTTCAACATCTTCTTAGCACCTTCTTAGCACCTCGGTAAATACCGTTCACATTCCCATTCATGGAACTGTCACTCTCGGCGGCGCCGCGGTCAAAGTCTCGGCGATGGTTTTATCGCCCAACTATCGGCCGGTCGCAGCCAGTCGAAAAACGCCTCTGCACGTGTCCACTGAGGACCGCTAGTTACGCAATACACATATCTCTGACAATGTGACGGTGTGACCATGTGATGTCACCTTATGTAACGGTGACATGTGACGAGTGGTGACATGTGATGATCGCTGACATGTGATGATCGGTGACATGAGACAAGTGGTGAGCGAAAATTGACGTGCATGTGATGCCTTTCGGTCAGAAACAATGAAGGACCTACTTATACGGTATCCCTGAGATGACAACTGTCCCCGTTTTCAGGTGACCTTGTAAGAAATAGGTCACTGGGTTGTTGATGTTACCCTATTAGGGAAAAAATGTTTTTTTTTTCTGAAATGCTATCTGAAAGTCATTTGAGCTTCTTACCAATCAAAAAAAAAAAATGGTTAAACGCTACTCTCAATAATTCAACTATAATCAAAGCAAGTAATTCTTGCATTGCCATTGGCACGAAAAAAAGATATCAGGAATTGATATGAATCACAATGCTAGAAATAACTGGTATCGTTTCCATTTTATCCAATTTATTGGCGGACTATCGTGGTGAAGGCACGGTGCCAAGCCAAACAGGGGCGGCGAGGGAAGATCGCGCCGGCTGCCCGCTGCGCCAGCCCGGCAGAGCGGCGTGCGTGGGACCACCGTCACAGGCACATAGACCCTTCTGGGTCGACCTCCTATACCATCTGCCACCACCGAGGGACTACCAATGAACAAAAACGAACAGAACAGAGGAGTGTGCCGTAACTCTAGCCACTGCCGACCACAAATTGGCCGTTTGCTTGCCGTTAGTCACCGCTGGAGCAGGGACGGCCAATCGATGTGAAACGCAAGCGGCTACTGACGACACTGCAGGCAATTTCCTGTCTGCACGGCAAAAGATCAATACGAAGTTCATGGGCTAGAAGGCTCATTTTCTATACATTTAGCGCACTGAAAGCAATATCTTTACGCCAACTCCGAACAGTGAACAGCAAACAGCTGTCCTGAAAATACAAGCCGAGTGCTGTAGATAAATTTCAATGCCTGTGGAATGTAAAACCATACAAACCCCAAAGCACCTGACCACAGGGAATAAGCTTCTAAAATAGCTACCGTATTTAAAAGTTGGCACGGTATTGGCTCAAAACTAATTAATGATGATGCTTCAAGTTCAAACATGTTAGTCTGGCCAAAAATTTGACAGATAAGCAGAATATGCGACGTTTTTAACCAAAGGCTTTCGTTGGTTGAGATATCGGAAATAAATGCATATATTATTGCATTTATAAGCCTGAATAAACTCGTCGAAGATAACAAAATTTAGGCCTTGGGACATCAAAGCCGAAAGCGCATTGGAATGCGCGTATCGCAGTCACACGCTTGCGTCTACTTATAGATATTTTCCGTCTCCCATGAATCACTAATATCAAAACGTTGTCGTAAACAATGACACCAGCTGCAGTAAATAATACAGTTTTTGTTGTCAGTTCGAACTTCACTGTCTTGTTTGCCACGCTGTCATGGTCTCCCCGGTTCCTTACCTGCCGAGCTCCTCGAATATGTCATAGTAGTGTTCAAACGGCTCCGTCCTAAACTCGCGCCGGCTGCCATTCGAGTCCATGGTCGCTCACGTGTCTACAACACCCTCACATCCAGCTTGACGGCGGTCGTGACGCACTGGATTCACTCCCGGCGCACCCCGCGCACTGACGCACTGCACCGGCGAGCGCGGCGCCTCGACTGAGGGTCGACCGCGCGGCGACCCGCGCCGCCGCCGGCGGCAGCACCGGTTTTTACCCGGCACACCGCGCCGCCGGCCCCACCGTGCGGCGGCCTGTGGGGACGGTCGGCACGGCGGCACCGACGGCCGACGACCGGCCCACCGACGGGGGTCAGTTTGACACCGACACAGGCAATGACACTGGCACTGTTTATCGACGAATAGAGACGTCGGTTCCGATATAATTCTGTCCGACCCTGTCACTGAATATCTAGCCATGCCTGTTGATGTGACAAAGACACTCTTCTACGCGACAATGACGTCACAATTATCTCTGCACAGTCTACTCATACAACCACCGTCATAGGTGGCGGAACGGGGGGGAGGGGGGCACCGCGGAGCACCGTGCCCCCTTTGATTTTGGCCTTTTAACATTAGTCCTATGGGCGTTGCATGGAAAGAATGGGATCAAAAGTCGGCAGTGCCCCCCCCCCCCCCTCTTAGTTGAAGGTGTTCCGCCGCCACTGACCACCGTTACCCATGCAACAGCAGTTACAGAGTGACAACAATGTCAACCCATGCAACAACAAAGGCACTGCTGACACTCGGACGCTTCAGATGAGTACTTGAACGTTGAGCTTCGAGGGCACAGGTCGGGTCAAGGTCAGATCAAACACCTAAAATCGGGCTTTAACCCTCGCCCGCACACATGCCATTTTCCCATCCTAGAACGCACATGGGGGGTTGCCACACACCCCCCCCCGCGCCATTTCGTTCCTGTTGGAGATAGAGCTTCGCGGTAAGTCCAAAAAGATTCTTTGGGAAGAGACGAATCCAATGATACCCAGTTTTACCTTCTCAGGGCAGTCATTGACCTTCCAGGTCAGGTCAAACTAAAAAATGTTTGTTTTGGATCACCGTTGGATATCAAGTGCGCTGCTTATCATATACCGATGACGATGCCGTTTTCTGGTGCCAAGCCAGCTAGAACCTCTTTGCCACACTACCCGACCAGGTTTTTGCTGCTGAGGTCATTTCAGGTCAAGTTAGGTCAAGGTCAATGATATGTGTTTGTATGTCTGTGTGTGTCTGTGTGTATGCTGATGTGTGCACCGATTGTTATGTGTCCATATTACATGAAATCGTGATCTGAGAAGCTTTTTCCAAAAATGCAGTCAAAAAAATTCACGAAAAGTAAATTCAGCTTGCCTAAAACGCAATTATTTTAGATGACCTAGGTTGACATTGACCCTGACCTTGACCTCTGTACATCGTCGAACAACATGTTCAACGATAGGCAGTGGTCGATAAAACTTCCAACGTGCCAACGCCCGTTGGAGCAAGATATTAGCAATGCTTCGAAGAGCTGGAGACAGTCCGCCCGTCTACATGGATGCTTCCTTACGCCTAAAATACAGCATTGACTTATGACTTTCTAATCGTCCGGTGCTGTTATCGGCTGCTCGGTAAGTACCGCGTGTATGTTCCCTCATTCACTCCTGGTCACCCTTCGGTCACCCCTCGCTGGGTCGGGCCAGTCGGCTATTTTTATCCTCTTTCCGGCTAGGCCACCCGCTGAGCTCTCGCCGTGCCGCGCCGTCTGCGACGGACCTGACCCTTCTGCCGGGACAGGTTTCTCCAGGTGTCTCCAAGGAGCCATCATAGCGCTAAGGGTGTGCTCCGCATACACATACATTGATTTTCGCCCTTACTAGCAGGGCCGCTGGCACGCGTTGGCAGCGCCCTGCGGGCATTTTTTCGCTTAGGGTCATTTTGTGGTAAGGAGGATCAGAAAATCACCCTTCAAACTTTCTCCAGGCCTGGGCGTTTTATCGAGCGCGCCTGAAAACGCACAGTGGACCGAAATCACACTTCGATTGCGTTACTTCGCATTAGGTAATACGATAAAAAGTCCGCTCTTTTCTCAATCAATACGGACAAGTGCGTTAAAGCACAGATATAAACTTTTGAATTAGAAGCTTTAAAATGCTAAATTTCAACATCTCTAAGCTGATGATAATCGTTAGTTGTTTCAGACTTTGGCGCGCAAACGTAGGCATTCAGATCCACCGTGCGACCGGTCACCGTATGCAGTAGTGTGATCAGTGTGATGGTGTGAGTTGGGGAGTCGAGGCCGTGTGGGGAGAAGGTGAGGAGATACCGGTGTGCCGACGCGGCGGATGGCAGTGAATTTTCAGGATAGGTAGCAAAAGGCTCATTCCCAGACGTTGTGCCAAATTTTGCGGCGCTACGCGACACCAACTTTTACGCTATTCGCGAAAAAAACTTAGGGAGGCTGCTCCCCCCCCCCCCCCCCCGCCAGGCGAGGGCTAAGTTGGAGACAGTGGTGGGACTAAGATGTTCGTTGGAGCAACTCCAAGCATTTTATCGACCTCTGACGATAGGTGAGAGGCAAGACTGGCAAAAAAGGCCGAAATCAAGGTGTCAAAAGCTCACAAGGCCTATAGCCAACGCAAGATGTTGAGAATAATGGTTCTTTGGGTCATGACATGGCCCGAAAACAAGGTCATACCTATCTCCGAAACCAAAAACCACAGAAATTTGAAATTTTCACTTTTCAGTGGACATCAAGAAAGGATAGAGGAGCAGCTATACGAAAAATCAGGTTTCTAGCTCTAAAAATGTTGAGTGCAGAGCAGGAAGACTACCTGGGGGGTGCCCCCCTCCCCCATGTGCGGGCGAGGGTTAAGAAGCATGTACTTTAGAACCTCGTACTGGGCGTTTCCCGTCATAAACTCTGTCAACACTGTGCACAATCCTTCATAAAAGCCATACCTATACGAGTGGCAGATCCATGTAAGAGTCAGTCAAGTATAGGTCAAGGTCTGGGTCAGGTCAATCAGGGCCCTGTTCAAGTGTCTGCGGCCGCCGCGGCTCCCGCGGCCAAAAAGGCGGAGCTTAGCTGGCGGCCAATCAGGTGAGAGCAGCATTCTGGGTAATGCGTAGCTCTTCCTGCGGCTCCCGCGGTCGCTCGGGAGCGACCGCAGGGAAACTTCGACACAAACTGCGCGCGTGAGACAAAACATTGCGGATTTCACTCTTTGTTTCGGTTGATTTTATTATGTTGCTAAGGAATAATTGCTTCAAAAAGGTACTAATTGAAGTAATAATGCCATTATAAAGCAATTACGCACAAAATTTTGATCAGCATCTCCTTTCAAAACAACCGTGCCATTCTCGTCGCCGGCCGCAGCGGCCGCAGCCGCGAGGGTGTTCAACCTAACCGAAATTAGGCTCCGCCTCCCGGCCGCGGGAGCCGCGGCGGCCGCAGAGCACTTGAACAGGGCTCAGGTAAGCACATATCCCCTATAAAAGCAAATCTGTTTCGTCATAAGCTATAGTGCGGCGAAAAAGTGCAGAAGCTATAGTGGTCCCCCTCCCCCCCCCCCCAACAACAACTCACGAACACCTCAATCCGCCTATGATTTTTGAACTTTCCAAAATACCCGAATATATATGATGGCCCAGTTCATGAAGAAGGGTCCCTTGAAGTTTCATCAAAATCGGTCAAAAAAGAAAGAAGTTATAGCATTTTTATTGATGAGGTGTATAACGCGATTTTTTCGAAAATTTTTGCTTCCAGGACCCCCAATGTTGAACTTTCTTTGACTTTTTTGAGTCAATCGGAAAGCTTGCGATGAAAGCAATCGAATGGTGTTTGTCCCATTAAGATCGGACATTTAGTTTTCGAGATATCAAGGGGAGCCGACTCGCCCCCCCCCCCCTCCACCAGTTAGCGTAGTTCAGAGAGCCCACCAAAATTAGGGTTAAGGTCAAGTCACCAGATCACTTCGAATGACCCGACCTCAAATCACTTTTTTGGAAATTTGTCAGCGTGTCAGAGCTATAGTATGTAGATGGCGGAGTCCTTTGAAATTTTCCGGATGTTATATGAGGTCATTGGCAGCTACAATTCGTGTATCTCGGAATTTTGATATCAATGACCTAAGGTCAGGTCAATTTTTTGGCCTCCCATTATAAGTCAATAGGGAAAATCAGGTGCCTGATTGTTTCACTAAATCGCGTCGGAATGCAGCCTAATATACCTACCATGAATGATTTCATATACGATCAAACTTGACTACCTCGACTCTCGAGGCCTGTTTTGCTCTTGGGCGGCTGTAAGGTCATGTGACGTAATCAAAGCTCACCATTTTTTTAGTTGATAATAACTTCTTACAGGAACTAGATACAACCGCGCGGATGGTCTCATTGTGTTCAGCTCGTCAAGGCGCATGAAATGATATACATGATGACTTTGAGGTCACATGATCTGAGGAGTGAGGTCAACCTTTGTCCTTGACCTTTCCAGGTCAACAATTCATATTTCGATGCGGATTGACGAGAGGGTCGCGATGGTACTATTAGTTTGTTCCTAGCCTGGCTGCTTCGAAAGTTGTCGAGAAAAAACTGCATATCCAGCGCCGCTATTTTAACCTTTTTGACCCCTGTGACGTCATCTTTGACCTGACTTGAAAATTAGCTCAGTAAAAATTGTAGACCTCGTCCGTGTGTATCCCACGCCGTTTACCGCTTGTCGCTATCTTGCATCGTTCTCGGTATCTAAGGGGGGGGGGGCGGTTATCCCCCCCCCCCCGTCGGAAATAAGTTGGCGCGGACCCCGTCGGTGCGCGGGTTAAGGTTTGGCTGCCTCTGGCCACTTGCTAGTCATCATGCGTTACTGTTATTCTGATTATCCAACATTCTTCAACGCCCCCTGCAGCGAGGAGCTCGGCATGGATGTAGCAACAGACGGTACCAAATACTACTACACTGCCACCTACAGGGCAGGCCTGGAACCTGTGCTTGTCGTGTCTGTCGCTATAGCCAAATGGCAGCGGAGGTCGGATGCTGACCTCCGCTGGCTGGTGGCTGCTAGCTGTAGCCTAAGCCTGCGAATACAGGCAGCCGTAGCCTGTGTTCGTTTGATGTTTTCGGTTGAGACGGTTGAGTGATGGAGTCGATATTGAACTCGGACTAAACCCTGGCCGGATCTGTCCATTTCTGCAAAACTGCACTGCAAAGGTCTTCGGTCGTGCCGTTTCGTCCGTTTGAGCTAGAGCCTTGCCGAGAAAAAAATGAGCAGCTATGTCAAGAATAGTCACAGGCTCGCGATTTTCACGCCATATTCAAAATCAGTATGGTAATCATCCTTTCTCAGTCACGTCG